CTATAATATATATATATATATATATATATATATATTTTTTTTAACTATTTAAAAAACTAATCGATTATTTAAAAAAGTCATTGATTAGTTTTTTCATACTTGATTTTTTCATACTTGATGAGAATCAGTTATTTTTTTAAACAATTAATTAATTTTTAAATAATGAATTGGTCTTTCAAATATATATTAAATAATTATAAATAAAAAAATATAGCAACTTAAAATTTTAAAAAAATAATTATTTTTAAATTACATATATTATATAAATTATAAATATAAAGTTAAAAAAATTATATTTAAAATTATAACCTTTAAAAAATTATGATTATAAAATTAATAAAAATATAACTATTTTTAATGTTAAATAAATTATATATTATATATATATATATATATATATTACATAAATTAAAATTAAAATTACATATATGAACTCTAAATTAATACTTTATTTAACATTTATAGTTTTAAATTAGGTATTTAAAAAGATTTGTATATTTCTAAAATTAATAATATATTTAGATTTATTGTTGAAAGTAGTAAAATAATATTTAAAATATATTATTAAATATTATATTTAAATTTATTTGTGTGATTAAACTTTTTTTAATTTTTTGATTTATTTGATATTATAATTTTATTAGAAATAATAATAAATTAGGAGGATAATAAAAATCTTAAAAATTATATGTATATAAGAAGAAATAATATTTTGATATAAAATTATATATATATATATATATATATATATTCTAAAATATAATTTATATTAATTACTATAATATAAAATATATATTCCAAAATATAACTTATTTTCATTTATATATATTATAGAAATTAAAATAAATTATATTTTCAATATATATATATATATATATATATATATATATATATATATATATTAAATATAAATTATTTTCAAGTTGATAATTATTATTCTAATTTATGCAAAATATATATATGATAGCGGTTCCAATCTTAAAAGTGACTCTATTATAGCGGTTCTAGTTTAACCACTCTTATATGTTCATATATAAGAGCGGTTCCATGTTAACCGCTATTATAGTTAAAAAACTGATCGATTATTTCAAAAAGTAATCGATTAGTTTTTCATACTTGAGAACTGATTATTTTTTTAAATAATTGATTAATTTTTAAATAATCAATTAGTTTTTCAAATATATATTAAATAATTATAAATAAAAAAATATATCAAATTAAAATTAAAAAAATTATTTTTAAATTATATATATTATATAAATTATAAATATAAAGTTGAAAAAATTATATTTAAAATTATAACCTTAAAAAAAATTATGATTATAAAATTAATAAAAATATAACTATTTTTAATGTTAAATAAATTATATATATTATATAAATTATATATATATATATATATATATATATATATATATATATATACATAAATTAAAATTACATATATGAACTCCAAATTAATTTTATATATAAAATTTACATAAATAAAAATAAAAATTATCAACTTAAAAATAAATTATATTTTAATATATATATATATATATATATATATATATATATATATATATTCTCCAAAGTATAAATTATTTTCATTTCTATAATATATAAAATATATATATATATATATATATATATATATATATTTTTTTTGACTATTTAAAAAACTAATCGATTATTTCAAAAAGTAATTGATTAGTTTTTTCATACTTAGTTTTTTGAATAGTTAAAAAATATATATATATATATATATATATATATATATATATATTATAGAAATGAAAATAAGTTATACTTGGAGAATAAATATATATATATATATATATATATATATATATATATATTAAAATATAATATATTTTTAAGTTGATAATTTTTATTTTTATTTATGCAAATTTTATATATAAAATTAATTTAGAGTTCATATATGTAATTTTAATTTATGTAATATATATATATATATATATATATATATATATATAATTTATATAATATATATAATTTATTTAACATTAAAAATAATTATATTTTTATTAATTTTATAATCATAATTTTTTAAGGTTATAATTTTAAATATAATTTTTTAACTTTATATTTATAATTTATATAATATATATAATTTAAAAATAATTATTTTTTTTAATGCTATATTTTTTTATTTATAATTATTTAATATATATTTGAAAAACCAATTCATTATTTAACTTTATATTTTTAATATATATTTTTTTATAATTTTTTAATATATATTTCTCATTAGCGACCGATTTTAATTCGGTCACTATTTCAAGTTGTGATTCTATCGCTAAATCAGTTGCTAAATGAGTTTTTTATTTTAGTATGGAATAGCCACCAATTTAGCGACCGAAATTTTGCGACGCAAACTATTGATCGCTATTTCGGTCGCTAAATAAAAAAGTGAAACCAAATCATATTTTGGTGGCTAAATTGGTCGCTAATTGCGACCAAATTAAATTGGTCGCTAAATCGGTCGACCGAAATTAGATCGGTCGCTAATTGCGACCGAAAAAATTCGGTCGCTAATTTCGATGGCTAAATGTGTTTTTTCTTGTAGTGAATAAATAACTTACATTTAAAATGTTCTAAATACATTAGAAATCTATAATAAGATGACATGGTATCCTTACATATCCATAATGTACACATCCTTGACCAGCACAGAACCCTTTTTTCTTACGTTTATTTTTAATATATTTTTTTCTAATTCTTTAGTCATTAACATTTGAGATGAGTCCTCCTTAATTAAAAAAAAATATTCTTTAATTATTTTAAAATATAATTTTAGCTTCTTAAATTTTGTATTTAGTGGTTATAAAATAGTTTTTTAAAAAATATTATAGTTTTATTTTAGTTTAGTATTAAGAAATTAAAAGTCGTTTTTTTAGGGTGCTTCAAAGTTAATTCCTTTGTTGCTGATACAAGAAGAACATGAAAATTCTGCTTTAAAATAGAAAATACAACTATATATAGCTGTATTGCATGTGCTTTGTTTTTTTTTCTTTAAATAGTTTTTTCAATTTAGTGTTTAGAGATTAATTTTATTTATTTATTTTTAGTTTGAGGGTGTTTAAATTCAAACTTAACTCCTTTATTGCTGATACAAAGAACATAAAAACCTGTACTTTAAAATAGAAAATGAAAGTATATATAATTTGTTAGTCATGTCACCTTTTAAAAGTATAAAATATCAAGATTCTTCATAGCTGTACTGTATGTGTGTGCTTTTAGAAAACAAATATATCTTTTACCGAATCGCTCAGAGTGATGGCCATTTAATTTCTAAGCTATATCTTTCTTTTCTTTTCTTTTCTTAATCATCAAAATGGTTATCTTTTTCCCATACATACTGTGAGAATTTCTGAACATGTTCTAATAAGCACCTGTTGATTATAAAAAAAATAAAATAAAGGTTCATATGATGAAAAACTAGAAGTAAAATCTAATTAGAACACGGGAATAATATAAAGTATTCTCACATTATTATTTAATAATAGTATCATATAATAAAAAATATTGAGTTTTATAATTATTATTAAAAAAAACACACACACTTTCAAGACAATTTACAATTAATAAAAAATACTATTTTAAAAATAGGACGGAATCATTCTATTTAACCGATTCAAAATAAAAATCAGTAAAAAGAAAATTGATTTATTACTTCTAAATAATTAATTTTTAATTGAAATAATATAAATAAAAAATATTTATAAAAAATAATATTGAATTTTTTTTAAATTTTATATTAATTACCTTACTTTTATATAATTATTACTTTGTTATATTTTTATCTTATTATTTTTTATTCTATACTATAATTTTTATTTATTATTATAATTTATTATAATTATGATAATATTTTTATATAAAAAAATATTATTAATGATAAATTTATTATATTATAAAATTATTATTTTATTAAATTTAATTTAACTGTTTGATATTTAACCTTTACATCATAAATCTATATTTTATAGACCAATGATTTTAAAATTAGCATACAAAAGTTTTTAAGTCTTGAAACTAAAAGTATGAATAATAATACAAACTGACAAATCACACAATGGTAGCTGCATATGCAGTAGTTAGTTTGATTTCTTTCACCATTTGATTTTTCTTTATCAATCTAACTCCTTTCTTTATAGTTATATTTATAGAAAGAAGTAAGATATCCGCGACTAACTATTTCTGTAACACTGGCTTGCTTCTCCATGGATCAAAATCCCTTCACATATCTGTAGCCTTTTGATTTTAAAACCCTTCCCCTATTCCACAAATTTCATTTCCCTTTTGGTTTTAACTCAACTTTAATGTGGAACATAGAACATGTCCTTGGTAGGTAGACAGGATATGGTAATGAGTATATCTTAAAGAGATATATTTCCTATAATAATTACTCTTATCTTTAGAAAGAACTACTTTAAAGTGATCAAATTACTGAGGTAAGACAAGTGACATGGCATGGGTTGCGTCACAAAAGCGCCACACTGATCTCACTTTCTTTTAACCTACAATAGTAGAAAATAAATAAGATCTTCACTTTGTGTTTATGTTGGTTATGTTCTATATTCTATATAATATATGTAATATAGCATGCAAGGTAAATTAGAGGGTAGGGGCCACCACAGATAATAAAATGACGTGTATTCTTATCCTAATAAATAGGGTACATAATCGCTTTAGCTTTTGTTTCATACCCTCTTGCAAGCAAGGTACTTGTTCAATAAAGCTTTATTCCACTTCATGTTGCTATATATATATATATATGTATATATATGTATATATATGTATATATATATATATATATATATATATATATATATATATATATATATATATATATATATATATATATATATATATATATATATATATATATATGTTACTAGTACAACCACGTATACTCAAGCCAAAACATATTTCCCTCCCACGGAGTTTTCTTCTGCATTGTGTCTTCTGATATCTGAAGCCATTTCAGAAACATGAGTAGCCACACTCGCCAGCTACCTGTTACCCCGAAGATGCAGCAAAGGAAGGAGCGACGCATGTTCTCCACTTCTGATGACAGTGCCATGACCAAGCAAGTTCAGGCCACACATGCCCCTGATGGCCGTGAAATTGATGTCAAACCCATTCTACAAATCGTGGATGAAATTCTGGTTCGGTTCATTGCTCGCACTGTTGAGGGTTATGAAGTAAGAGTTACACTTACGTTATATCATGTTTAGATTCTTCCACTTTGCATGCATGTGACAAATGTTTAATTAACTGGTTTTATTCTTTTAGTATTATTATTATGATATCTGGTTGTTTTGGCAGGTGAAAAGAGACCAAGATGCATTGGAGATGACTGCTGCTCTGGCTGAATTTGACATGCTTGACTCGCTGGCTTACATCATAAACAAAATTTCCTGCGAGGTTGTTTTCATATGAAAATCTTCTTAACTTTTATAAAAGTTACTTGATGTTACACTGTTACCATATATAGAAGGTGTTCCCTTATTTCCTCAAATAGTATAATGTGTTGCAGTTGAAAAGAGTGATTCCTTTCCTTAATTTAATCCTGCATAGAATATACTGACAGTGAATTCATATATCTATCTTCTTGTTTACACCTCAGTTTTACATCCTCATGAACAGAAATATTACATGGTCCAATTTTTACAAATATTTGCATAAAGTGAAATGAATATTATTTTTATAATAAATTTATAAGTTTTTAGTAACATGTAAAATTGATAATTCATATAGGCAATTTTAGTTTAAAAAGAGACACTTAATTTTTTTTCTATTTATATATCTTCATTGATATTATTTTACAGTTTTAAAAAATACATGTTTATAAATATTTTTAAATAAATTTTGATATTACATGTCTAAATCAAACTTAATTTTTATATTTTGCTCCTAAACTGCTATCATGATTCGTCCTGCCTGTGATTCTTTTCTTATTGTCTAAATTCACTTAAACATGAGCTGCAATTTATATTTCTCCCCTCTATTCTGAATAGTTATATTCATACATTTATTTGCTCTCCATCTTCTTCCTATTTCTTCTTTTCTTTTTATCACATCTATCACTTTTTTCTTTTCTTTTTTTATTTCTCTCTTCTCTCTACCTTAATCCACCCAAAACGAAGTGGACCATCACCCATGTGCCTATAGATACCCAAAGAGAGAAAGAGATACAAGGAGTAGCGCAGTTATGATGAAAAATTCCAATGGGATTTTGGAAATTTAGGAGTTTTTGGTATTGTTGTTAAGACATTCTCATTTACCTCACTCTTACTTTTATGGTTCTTATTCATTTAGCTATCTGGCTTAAAAAATAACCATGCCAATACCCTTGGATACCTCTGGATACCATAGTGGTGATATGATGATAAAACATAAATAAAAATAAATGAAAAGAATGTCAATTAAATGCATGTAACTTGAAATGCCCACATATCATTACCCTAAAAAAAAGTGGACTTATCTAGCTTTCATATGCATTTACTTGGCAGTATTTATAACTACAGCATAAGGTTTTGTCTTTTGAGATTTTTTGGACTATTTATATCACCAAATTATTCCTGGTTCATTTTGATCAAAATTTACCAGCTCTAAAGTCTAAAATAAAAGGATCAAGATATGTGTAATTAAAGAGCAGTTCCTGACTATATTGGCAGCTATCATGCAAGTGCTCGGGAGGTGGAGATGCACATTCATCAACGATGGTGTTACTGAATTACATGTCTAGCTATGCTTGGCATGCCAAAGTTGTGCTAACCTTAGCAGCCTTTGCTGTTATTTTTGGAGAGTTTTGGCTTGTGGCTCAGTTGAGTACTGAAAATACTCTTGCCAAGTCTGTTGCCCTCCTTAAGCAACTGCCCGATGTTGCTGAGAATTTCATGTCCTTGAAACCCCATTTTGAAGCACTCATTAGGCTCGTGAAGGCTGCATTGGATGTAACCATGTGCATTGTTGAATTCAAGGAGCTTCCATCTGAATACATTTCAGAGGACACACCTCCTATGTCTGTTGCCAGTACTCACATTCCTATTGCTTCCTATTGGGTCATCAGAAGTATTGTGGCTTGTGCCTCACAAATTGCTAGTCTCGTAGGCACGAGAAATGAGTAAGCATAGCTCCTTTCCATCACTCACATCGAATCAATTGTTATTTTGAAATATCACTGACCCCAGTTTTGTTGATTTGATTGCAGGTCCATTTCATCAACCACTGAGGCATGGGAATTATCTAGTCTGGCTCACAAAGTTAGTAGTATTTATGAGCACCTCAAGAACCAACTGGTTCTTTGCTACCAATATATTGGTGGGTACAATTATGATTAGAAGTTAATTAATTAACTTGGATATATATATATTATCTGAACTCAAGAGTCTTCATATAGCATTGACTAATTTAAAGGATTTTAAATTAATTTGTTGTTTAAGATTTCATTAAGTATATATTACGATAAAATTTATCTAGAATGAAGCATATTTGACAACTGCATATCCTTAACCTGGTGCAGATGACAAGAGGCATATAGAGGCCTTCCATAATCTGATACGACTTTTCGAGACAGTCCATGTAGACAACATGAAAATTCTCAGAGCACTGATATATGCAAAGGATGATATCCTTCCACTCGTGGATGGAACTACAAAAGCAAGGGTACTTTGATTTATTTAATAACATGTAGTCCTTGTGTTAAATAAATCTTGTTTTATACCATGGTTAAAAACATTGATTTATTGACAAACAGGTTAGTCTCGAGGTACTTAGGAGGAAACATGTGTTGCTTCTCATATCAGATCTTGATCTTTCACAAGAAGAGATCCTGGTACTTGATAACTTGCACAAAGATGCACGAGTGAGGGGTGACACAAACTATGAGATGGTGTGGATCCCAATTGTGGACAGAGCGATCTGGAATGAAATGAACAAACAGAAGTTTGAGTATTTGCAGTCATTGATGGCATGGTACAGTGTCTGTGATCCTTTCATCATTGAACCATCAGCAGTTAAGTACATCAAAGAAGTGTGGAATTTCTCAAAGACTGCTATTCTAGTGGCCCTTGATCCACAAGGAAGATTGTCCTCCCCTAATGCTGTCCATATGATATGGATTTGGGGCAATTTGGCCTTCCCCTTCACAAGTGAGAAAGAAGAATCCTTGTGGAAGCAAGAGATTTGGAGCCTTGAGCTGCTTGTGGATGGCATTGATCCAACAGTTTTAGAATGGGTAACAAAATTCTCTCTCCATTTTATTTTATTTATCACTAAACCATATAAGAAAAAAGTATTAATTACTTTTTTTTTCAATAATATTGTAAAAAAATACACTTATGGATATTTAAGGATATTTTTTAACAAGATCCATGAAAATTAACATAATCAATTGTTTACCTAAGATGTAAACCACATACTTTGGAGTTATACATCTAAATTAAAACAGAACATTTCTCTTTAGAGAAATAAGTTTGACTGAGTGTGAAATTGAAAATTAGTTTAACAGCTGATACACCTGAGATTTTACTAGATAAGAACTCTAATTACTACAGTTGCAATAAAAAATTTATCCAAATTAGAAAGAATCCTCAATTTAGTCTCTGAAATTATAATGGAGGGTGATTTCAATCTCTCACTATCACTTGTGAATTTTTATATTGATTGGCACATGAAATTTCTGTTCACAGATGACAGAGGGAAAACTCATATGTCTGTATGGAGGTGAAGACCTGGAGTGGATTGAGAAATTCACTGCAACAGCATTGAGTGTGGCAAAAGCTGGGAAGTTCGAGCTGGAGATGGCGTACGTGGGAAAGAGCAACGCGAAGGAGCGGATGCAGAAGATGATAAAAACCTTCAGCACAAAAAAGTTCAGTTACTTTTGGCCCAACGTGACGTCCATTTGGTTCTTCTGGACCCGTTTGGAGAGCATGCTGTACTCCAAGTTGCAGCATGGAAAGACGGTGGAAAACGACGAGATCATGAGCGAAGTGATGACTGTTCTGAGCTTCGACGGCAGTGATCGAGGGTGGGCGATTTTCTGCAGGGGCGCCACCGAAATGGCCAGAGCCAAGGGTGACAGTGCTCTGGCATGCTTGCAGAACTTCAACGATTGGAGCCATAGGATTGAGGAAGATGGTGTGGTGCAAGCCATGAAAGATTATCTCAACAAAAACAAACCCCCACATCACTGCAATCGCTTGATCCTTCCTGGGAGCACTGGTGGCATACCCCAGAAGGTTGTGTGTGCTGAATGTGGACGCCAAATGGAAAAATACTTCATGTATCGTTGTTGCGTTGAGTGAGACATAACAGTAAGTGAGTGTAGTGTACTATTGTTACACGCATTGTTATTGCTTTACTATGTTTAATGTTGGTTTGAGAGTTTAATGTTTTTAGTGTCATAACATAAGCTGTTCCTTTGTGAGATATGTAGTGATGTGACATATGACAGGGTGATAAGCTAATGTTTATTTATGTGTACTACCTGATCTTGAGATCTCAGAAACACCATCTCTTTGGGTAGCTGAGACCCTCCTTGCTAATAAAGTGTGTTGTAGAACTTTTATGTTCCAAAAGTGTTCCAAGTCATGACACAAATTTTAAACATTTATTTTTCTTCTGATTGGTCCTTCTTTTTCATTTTTCTTCCAAACATGCAAACAGTGGAAGTCACAATCAGAAAGGAACAGAGAAAGATGGGAGTAGACGTATGAGTAGTGAATGGGGACAGATTGAGTAATGGAGGAGAGTTTTTCAAAGTAAATCGAAAGAAAATGTTGCTTTGGCTCGACAGTGAAACACACCAATCTGACCGAGTCATGACGAGTTTCATTGAAAATAAATGAAAAAAGAAAAATCATATAATACACTTTTCAAAGTAGATCGAAAGAAAACATTGCTTTTGGCTCGACAGTGAAACACACCAATCTGACCGAGTCATGACGAGTTTCATCGAAAATAAATGAAAAAAGAAAAATCATATAATACATTTAAACTAAACCACACAATACTTGACTCGTTTATTACGCTTTGTGATTCATGCCCAAAACACACGTCCAAGAATTACATGACTCCTACCACTAACTTTCAACGACCATCAATTTTTCTTTTACAATAATAACGTAAGAATTGTTTACATTATCACAAATCGTAAATTCTCATGAAAATTATGGTTGTTAAAAATACCTTTTTTATAATTTTAAACATTAATGTTTTAAAAAACAAATTTATATATACGAAAGTAACAAATAGTGTTAAAATTTGAAGAATTTAGAATCCGAAAGCATCCCCATTTTACTAGCACCATCTCTATGTTCCCAAATTCAATACAAGATTGCATCACTGAAAATGTATATTATGTTTTAGAAAGAAATTGTTTGAAAAAGTTATTGACCATGACAATATCAAAGCTGGGTATATGCCATAATCTAACGGAACATAAGACCACTATAATAAACCAAAAATCACCTCTGAATCCACCAACGGATAGGTGGGTATGCCGTCCCTAAATTAGTACAGTCTCAAAAATGAAACGAAATGATGATATACGACCAGTGAGACGAAAGCGATAGTCAACTGAAGGAGAAAAACAATATCGTGAGAAAAAAAAAAAAGTAAAAAATAAAAAATAAACATAAACGAATAGAATGCAAGAAGTAGGAAACTTACCGGTGGAAAAGAAAATTCAAAGGAGATGTTTGAGAAGTGGGAAGTTTTCCACACGGTTTGGCGCTATAAGAGTAACTAAAATGAGGCAAAACTGAGTGCGAAGCGAAGCACAATGGCTCACAAAACTCGCTTATTGCTGTTTTCTCTGTTTCTGTTCTTAATCTCCATCAATGCCAAGCTTCAACTCTACCCTTCAGATTTCAAGGCTCTCTTAGCCCTGCGAAAGGACCTCGGAGTCAACGGTCAACTGGACGCAAATGAGGCATGTTACGCGGAGGGTGTGTTCTGCGAGCGAAGGCTCTCCGACAAGGAAACCTACGTGCTTCGAATCACCAGGTTGGTGTTCAAATCCAAGCATCTCAACGGTGTCTTGTCCCCCGCCATAGGATCCCTCACGGAGCTCAAACAACTCTCTCTCTCCGACAACCAACTCGTTGACCGAATCCCTCCCCAAATCGTTGACTGCCGCAAGCTCGAAATTCTCGACCTTGCTAACAATCTCTTCTCCGGCGAGGTCCCCTCCGAAATCTCCTCTCTCACGCGCCTCCGCGCGTTGGACATCTCCTCCAACAAACTCTCTGGCAACCTCAACTTCCTCAAGTACTTCCCCAACCTCGAAACCCTCTCCGTCGCCGACAACCTCTTCACCGGAAGGGTCCCCTCTTCCGTTCGCTCCTTCCGCAACCTCCGCCACTTCAACTTCTCCGGCAACGGCTTCCTCGAATCCTCTCTCCGCTTCCAACATTCCTCCTCATCAGACACCGTTCTCTCCAGACGTTACCTTTCGGACGTTGGTGAAGCACCTTCTCCTGCACCTACCTCAAACAAGAGAAACGCCAAAGCTTCTCATGGTTCCCCTGCAGCGGCACCTGGTCCTTCATTTAACCACCGAAAACACAGGCACAGTAAGAGAAAGCTCGCTGGGTGGATTCTCGGGTTTTTGGCTGGGGCAGTGGCTGGAACCTTATCAGGGTTCGTGTTTTCTCTCTTGTTTAAACTGGCTTTGGCACTGATCAAAGGAAGAGGAAAGAGAGTGGGTCCCGATATTTATAGTCCGTTTATTAAGAAAGCAGAGGATTTGGCCTTCTTGGAGAGAGAAGAAGGAATCACTTCGTTGGAAATCATTGGACGCGGTGGCTGTGGGGAGGTTTACAAGGCTGAGTTACCAGGAAGCAATGGCAAACTGATTGCTATAAAGAAAGTTGTTCAACCTCCTAAAGATGGTGCTGAATTAGCAGAGGAAGATAGCAGGCTTCTGCATAAGAAAATGAGGCAAATTCGGTCTGAGATTAACACTGTGGGAAAAATTAGACACCGAAACCTTCTGCCTCTGTTGGCGCATGTTTCTAGGCCTGATTGCCACTACCTGGTGTATGAATTCATGACGAATGGTAGCTTGCAGGATATGCTGAGCAAGGTTGAAAGGGGTGAGGCAGAGTTGGATTGGTTGGCGCGGCATAGAATTATGCTTGGTGTTGCTTCTGGACTTGAATACCTTCACATGAGTCACGACCCTCGCATCATTCATAGGGATCTCAAGCCCGGAAATATTCTTCTTGATGATGACATGGAAGCTCGCATTGCTGATTTTGGACTCGCTAAGGCAATGCCAGATTACAAGACTCACATAACCACCTCCATTGTGGCTGGCACTGTGGGGTATATTGCTCCTGAGTATCACCAGATACTTAAGTTCACTGATAAGTGTGATATCTACAGCTTTGGGGTTATCCTTGGGGTGTTGGTGATTGGCAAGCTTCCTTCTGATGAGTTCTTTCAGCACACCGAAGAGATAAGTTTGGTCAAGTGGATGAGGAAGGTTTTGAGTTCTGAGAATCCTAAGGAGGCTGTTGATTCGAAGCTGCTGGGGAATGGGTATGAGGAGCAGATGCTTCTTGTGTTGAAGATTGCATGCTTTTGCACCATGGATGATCCCAAGGAGAGGCCAAACAGTAAGGATGTTAGGTGCATGCTTTCACAGATCAAACCCTGATCAATCATTTGGCTAAGTATGTAAAATAATGTGTATCATTATTGTGCTAAAGTGTGCGTGTTTAAGAATATAGTTCATAGCTAATTGATCAAATTTGGTTCATAAGGTAAATAATGAACCCGTGTAATATCATCACAGATTGCTGAATTTCCAGAAAAAAGAAAAATTCAGCACTTCAGTCACCTATACCCAAGTTAATCTAGTCTGCCACTATTTGTTTTCACTTATTATATGTTTATGTATCCACCCTGAAAATAAAATACTCATACTTCCTTACCATTGTTTTTATCTGAGTACTGTTATTGTTAATAAGTTAGATGAGCACAAAATAAAGCACCCTTCCTCATTTGCTATGTCTTTGTCAATTGAGCACTAAAAGTTTTACATTATATCTTATCGGCAGGGAGGGCGAAACAAATTAAATAAAAAGCAATTAATATCTTTTCTAAGATGTAAATTTGGACCAGAAAGTTTATCACACCGAACTAATGCAGCCATGCAATCATGATGAGCTTGCCATGATGTATATCCTAGGAGGATTGATTATGAAATTTAAATACATGAATCTCCTAAAATGTTTAAAAAATCTAAAATAACTGAGGACAAATTTTCTATATAAGTGACTAACACATTCTGTCTCTGCGAAGACTGAAACAGCATCTCGCATGACTCAACAGTTTCTGCGTCAACAGTCAAGAATATATACAATGCATTCCAAGTCAACGGATCCGTGGTTTGTGAGGTTTCGAACATGTATGTTCCTCATTGGAGAGAAGGGGCTAGGTGGGCCAGTGGCAAAATTTACAATGAATTGTCGGTCATTTATCCAATAATTCAAACGATTGGACAGAACCCTCCATATTGATGGATAAATTGTGAACGAGAAATGCAATATTAAGATCGCTTATATACACCTTTTTTCTCTCTTTTGTTTAATAGTATTTCACCTTTTATATATTTCCTTTATACTTGTGTTTTCACGTGTAAAGAACTAAAGGATGAGAAGAAAAGAAAATGAAGATGAGTTTCTGTTATGGGAATGGTAGGTGTAATAATGAATACAACATTTGTGCTAAAAAGTGCGTGTTTTAGAAAATATTCGATGTCTACATTATCAATGTTCGTTTAGAAGGTAAATAACGAAGTATACCACAGCTTGCTGATAGATGAGCAATTACAATACATATAATATTGGTTGTTATCACTGTGTTTTATTTGAGTACTGCTATTAATAAAGACACATAGATGAGCACAAGAAAAAGCATTATATCTTTGTCAAATGAGCACCAAAAGGTTTAAATTATAGTGAATCCTGCAATAGGGGCTGAGAGAAAAAATAATTGATATTTTCCTCATTTTTGACAAAAAATTGAACCCTTTCTGCGTCAACTTATCCATGTACTGAAAGCTGGTGCATGTGTTTCTCGTTTGAGATAGGGGGGCCTGTGATGAAGTTTAATAACGACTCATTTGTGCAATAATAACAGATCCCAGTAAAATTAATGATTAACCCTACATATTTTTCTTTTAAACTTGTTTTCATACGTGTAAATGACTGATGCCGCATGCGAAAGAGAGGAAAAGGAAAGATGAGTTTTTGTTTGTTATCGGAAAAGTATGCTAAAAAGGAAACATGAAAATAAGAAAAAAAAATGTTTGGGATAAACGTTGGGACAATCCTTTATGCTGTGATATTACTGTTCTTCAATTCACATCTACGAGAGCCATGTGTATAACACAAAAGCCAATTTTATAGTATTCTGTCATGCTGTGTTTGGTAGAGTGTGTGTGGGTTTTTCTGTCTGGAAGTTTCAAAACATTTTATTGGTCAATGACTCTCAAAATTATTAAGCATGTTTTGACATCCTAATTAATATTTGATAATTGACTACATTTAATGAATATTTATATTTTGTGGGTGTTGGTGGGAAAAAACTGATATATGAATCGAAAAGTGGATAGAGGAAATCCGATGACCATGCTGAGAGTAAAAAATCGATAACATTGAAATATCGAGTGTCAAGTTATGTTTGAGGGAGATCAGAGGCATTTTAAAGTTCAAGTATTCGATTTTTGGGATCGAAATTGAAGGAAACAGTTATCTCTGTACATGGGAACATGGAGTAGCGGTTTTTTTTAACCGTTTTAGGTGGTTATGTTAAGTAAGTTATAAATAGAACTAAATGTGGGAGGTTGGGGGAGATCATTTTGACTTCAAAAATTTTTGGTGCGAGTCTCTAGGAGAACGATAGCCATCATGAAATTTCTAACAATATGAGTTTCCGTTTTCATCGATCTTTTCTACCGCTTTTTGTATTTTCTTTGGTAATTTATTCTTATGCAATTTAAAGTTATGTATTACTTTTCGTTTCGTCATTTATTTATCTCTTTGTATTTCTTTAAAGTTAATCCAATCAAAGTTTCATATAGTCATTTGATCTTTATTTTCATCTTTCTCTGTGTTTTTATGTATTCTCTTGTCTCTAAGCTCATATAGTCTTTCATTTTATATCGTTTACTTTTAATTTTACTTTTGTCTATTTTAATGTTCTCAAGTTCCTTAAATAATAAAATTAAAAATCACTTTTCATTTTTAAGTTAATGAATATAATTTACTTATCCATTGTTATTGATCAACCTTTCTTTCAATTAGATATAATCGTTTATTTGAGTAACATTGATATCTACACGCTTTTAAATTCATTTTCAGTATTTCGTACTTAAATTTATCCCCTCTTACGTTTTTTATTGAAAAACTTTGTTTGCTAGCCTAAATAAAAGAACTCATAGTGGTTGAAAATTGGTTAAAACTTATAGTCTTCGGGAATCGAAACAAAACCAAATTTCACCAGTAACAAATTGACACGCCCAGTGGGACTAGTGTGTTAAACACACAAAATTTGGTTAGTTTAAAAGTGTATGAGATTAAGGAGTGGACGAATAGTAAGGATGAATCAAAATCCACAAAATAATCAGAGTAATACTGGGGTTCCTAATAGCCCAAATTCACCAAACACTGGGGGGCAAGTTCATAATGGAACTATGGCTATAATATCATCAAATGTGAGTACATCGATTCCAATAAATAATGAACAAAGCCAAGGGACGTTAACAAATACTCAATCAATAGGGTCTGAAACTATAATGACAAACAATGTGCAAACTATGGGAAGTCTTGTAACAACATTTGCAGGTCCATATATGAGTATAAGACCACCTGAATTTACTTTTAATAATATGAATGGGGTTGGTACTTCAGTACAACGAAATATGAGATCAAACCTAGGAATGCCCAAAAACTTAGGAACATTTCAAATCTTAGGAATGCCTCAACATTTCGGAGCGTCTCCACATTTAGGTATATCAAAAAATTTAGCAACACCTCATAATCTAGGAAATGCACAAAGTTTAGGGACACAACTGACGACTCCAACTCCAAACCAGGATAACAGAGCAAATTTGGATCATGGGAGGTATGCGTTTGATAGAGATTATCATCGATCTAATTTCGATGTTATAAAAAATGTTAGTGCTGGAATTTCCAGTAATTCATTGGGGGTGTTTCGACAGCAAATGGATGAAAGTAATTTTGAAATGGTCAATGTGTTGTCACAACAGTTGACTACAATATTAAACCCATTAATTCAAAACACTACTAACAGTTTTGAGATATTAGCAGATCAAATGACACGTATCGGGGATGTATTGGCAATACCTCGACAAATGAAGGATAAGAATAATACTAATCAGGACAATAACCAAAATACTAATATTAATCCCCCTTGTTTATTAAGGAGAAATTGAAATATTGACCAATATCTACATATGAGGAATGATGCTCAAAGAAATTTAAATGATGGGTTTCAGAATGTGTATAATTAGAATAACATGTAGTACAATCATTTGTTGGGTCAAAGGATGAATCCTCAAGGGGTGGAATTAAGGCCACTTAACTAACCATACTTTGTTTCTCCTTTTTCAAATACGATTCTTGAGCCTGAATTACCTCGAGGATATAAAGTACTTAAGTTCACAAAATTTGCTGGAGAAATAGGTGAATCCACTATAGAGCATGTGACACGATATCAAATCGAATGTGGAGACATAGCTATGAATGAGGAATTAAAAATGAAATACTTTCTTAGTTCATTAATAAAGAATTCCTTCACTTGGTTTACCACTTTACCACCTAACTCAATATATAATTGGCTGCAGTTGGAAAGGAATTTTTATGAGCAGTTTTTTAGGGGAGAAACTTAAGTAAGTCTCATCGATTTAATGAATATAAAAAGTTATAATCATGAGAGTATAAATGATTATTTGAATAGATTTAGACAAATGAAATCAAGATGTTTCACTCAGATTCCTGAATATGAATTAGTTAGAATGACTTCTGCTGGGTTAGAATTCTCTATTAGAAAGAAATTGGTTAATTTACCTTTGAGTGACATGACTCAATTGGCCGATAAAGTAAGAAGAGTGGAACAAATCAAATATGAGAAGGAAAGATATAAGAAATTTGAAAAACCCATAAAGAAAGACAGGGTAGCATACATAAATGAAATATATGAAGAGAATCTTAAGACAGAAGTAGAAAATGAAGATTTTATTGATGAGAAAGTAAACATAGCAGAGCTCAAAGTAGGAGCTCCATATATTTGTAAATTGTTACAAAAAAATGAGATAAAAGACAAAATGGCAAATCGAACATATAGTTTCGATGTGACAAAAGTAGATAAAATCTTCGATATTTTATTAAAAGATAAACAAATTAAATTGAGTGATGATCAAAAATTGCCTCCTTTAGATCAAAGAGATGGTAAAAGATATTGCAAGTTTCATACTATTTATGGGCATTGGACTAACAATTGTATACATTTCAGGAACATAATTCAAGATGCAATCGACCAGGGAAGGTTAAAATTTGAGGAGAAGTCGATGAAAGTGGATACTAGTCCATTTGAAGTCTAGGTGGGATATGTTGAGTCTCAATCAGGCAT